GGGCTTGTCAAAGTGACTGGGAGTTACCCTGGTCACAGCAAAGAAGTGCATTCCAATGAGCCCTGGTTTGAGATGACCATTAAACACAAGAGATACATACTGACTTTTGAGAAGAAAGGCTTTGTATTTATGTAGAGGTGTTCAAGGGTACATGGAATAAATTTAATACCAAACTATAAGACAAATTGATAATGAATGACAGACAGGTAATACTAGATTTAAAAAGCCATATGTCTACTCAATTCCTACACATTTCAACAAACATGATAGTCCTCTAAATCCCAAATGAAGTCAAGTAAGAATCTCTCACCTTGTGGATTTAGAAGTTCAAGTAAACAATAACACTGCCCACTGCAGATGGAGCATGGGGGCCTAGGGCCCAGCTCCTAGTTAAAAGATCTAGTGATATTATACATGTTGATGCGACATTTTCCATGGACAGAAAATTAGGCAGAGCCCATCTTGAATAAAAACAAATTCAAAAGGTGTCAACTCCCTAATCCAATGAGGCTCTCTACGCTGGGACATAGGATTTTACTGTGATTAGTCGTGTAAAGATTTTGAAACTTTTTACAAGCCCAGTTTTTCCCACATTTTGGTACAGGGACTTTTTTTTAACCTCTTCATTTTCAGCACATTTATTCAACAAATATTCCTTCAGTGCCTACCAAATACCATGCTGAATGCCAAGCGCAATGCTAGGCACCCCTCACCTACCTGCCTCTTCTGCTACAATGGCCATGACCGAACTGCTCTTTCTTCCTATCCACATCCACCCTCATTCCCGGAAAGGCCAGGATGGAATATCCAGAGTTCCTTAGTCTGCAGCAAAATTTGGATTAAGAACACTGCCCTAAATAACGCTATTTCTCTTTAGTGCAGATACAATGATGATGTTCTGTTGCATTTCCACTTTTTCCTAAGCATCAGCATTCACTAATTTCCCCCATTTATTCCCTTTAAACTCACCAATTTACCTTAACTGAACCCTTACATAAATCCCAAAGCCTAATGCTAATACCACACCATGCCACGCATGCAGTGACAGCCACGTTTGTTGGATGCCAAATCTCTACAAGGCTTTCCTATCCTAACACCCCCAAAACCAAATTCATCGTCTCCCGACTCTCTCTCCTCCTGCCTCGGATGAGCTCCTTAGTATCAGCAGTGTTCCAAACATCTAGCCTCTCGAGCCAGAAATCTCTATTCCTCACCGTCAGCCCTCTGCCCGTTCATGAAGACACAAGGTCCTGTCAGTCCTCCCTCAGACACCAGTCTGGAACATGGGTCCGCTTCTCCACACTCGCTGCCTCTGCCTGGATTCAGGCCCACTTTAAAACACCTCTGGCTCACTTCACCGTAAGTCTGATCCCTCGGCGTGACACGCTGGCTTAACCCACTTCCCTGGCTTCCTCCTTCCACTGGCTTCTGCCCACACCCTCCACCCACTCCCCTCACCATCCCCTGAACATGGCAGCACCCCTGTCCCTGCTGCTCCCTCTGCTCCGAATGCCTTTATCCCTCCCCCATTCCTCATCTCTCCCTTTCTCTAGCTGGCAAACTCTCCCCCACCCTTGAGTGAATTCAAAAGTGTCACCTTATATATGAAGTCTCCCCTACATGCCAAATCAGAGCTCGTCACTCTCATAGCACTTTATTCTTTTCTCTATTACAGTGTCAATAATCATTTCTTAATGTACGTGTCTAATTTCCCCATCAAACTGTGAGCTCTTTAAAGTCAGAAGGTCCTGCCTTTAGTGCCACCCTCATGGGGCTTACAGTTAGCAGGGCAGGCAACTGTAATACATAAGTGTTATGGGGTCACCAGAGGCCCTGTGAGAATTTATAGGAGAAGCCCTTAATCCAAGGATCAAGAAATGGCCCCATATGAGGTGACATCAGCCAGGGAAACTTATATGAGAGTTTGAAAGAATATTTCAAGCCAGGGGTGGGAGGGAGGGAGAGCAACTGCCATGCAAAGAGAAAAGAGAAAGAGAAAGATTTTTAAAAATATTCCTAGGTGTTAAAATGATATC